AGTTGGACTTGGGGAGGAATGGTGGCTCAGAGTCTGGAAGCAACATGAGGGAGATGGTAGTCCATCATGGACAAAGGGGAGGGTACCAAGTTATCCAAGCTGAGCAGGGAGGCAAGATCTTGAACAGGAAGGGAAAAGTCTGAGGTGAAATGTCCAGTAGGCTGGAGAGGGGTTGGTGGGAGGAAGGCAAGAGGGGTTTGGAGGAAGGTGTAGTAATGGGGGCTGTGCTGGAGGCCTGTTTGTGAAGGACACTGCACTGAATGGAGTGTTCCTGACTTCAGAGTCACCTCTGAATCAATGTTTTCATCCCTGATTGCAGGACTTCAAATGTTTTAGACTGTGGAACTGCAAGATGCTATGTCACAGACACCTGTCAGGTAAGGAATATGTTGCCCTTCAGGTGGCAGTGATGGTGAATAAACCATAATAGGCCCATGGGTTGAATTTCTCATTCTTGCTCAGGCATTTATAACACCCACAGAGTATGAGCCATGTCAATATGGGAGTGCATAGGGAGAGATCACAATCAGGAAGGTTGTCGTGGAGGAGCAACCCCCCTGTCTTTCAATGAGAGACATTGAAGCCCAACCCCCCTGTCTCTCAATGAGAGATGGAGTATTGAGGGCTGAACCTCTGACTGGTCCTGTGGTAGCATTAGAGATCACGTTCAATCCTTTCTGTGGGGAAAGGACACCCTCCCTGTCTCCTACTCATCACTGCTAGTCAACAGCTGATCATGGGAACTTACTCTTTAATATATTGCTTAATTTACCATTTACTAAATACTTTCTCCTTTTGCAAATGTAAGTAATAGGCTTTGGATTCTGTGTCCAGAAATTGATAGGGCACTGTGTTCAGAAATTTTGTAGATTCCATGGATTTGACATTGTGGTTAAACAAATAGGTACTTGAGTCAGAAAACCCTGGGTTCAAATCCCAGATGTACGTTTATTAACTTGGGACTTGGGACTGAGATCCTTAAACATCCTGAGCCTCAGTTTTTATCACCTGTGATGTGGAGATAGCCACCGTCTCACAGCCTGGTTACAGCACAGAAACCAGTGCATGGCGGCACTCAGTGAGTGGGGTCTCCCCATTCACCACTCCATGTCCACAATTCTGTGTCAAAATGCTTTGACAACTGAAAGTTCTTTCTAATCTTGTGTATATGCTTGCCTTAGAAGATAAGAGAAGGAGTAGATGTTGTTGGTGGTGTTTAAAAGAGTTTTTCCCGATCACTGATCTGAACTTACCAGTGTGAGGCTCTTTGTAGCCTCTATCTGTTCTGTTAGGTGTGAATATTTATGTATTTTGCTGGAGAAATAGTATTGTACAGTATTTGGTCACAGGGTGCTGCCTAGACCCTCTGGGAGTGGATTCTGAAACACACCTGGTCACATCTTCCTTTTTCTGATAAGAAATTGGCAGGTCATGATTGCCTCATTGCTGTCTGTTAAAGCCCACAATGCACATGCACGAGTAATCATTAAAGAACATGTATTTCCATTTGTCAAACTTTTCTTCTCAGGACTTGGAATGAAAACTCGATAGAGGTACTCATTGATTTGTTTAGCTAAGATGTACTAAGAACGTACATTGTGTAAGACATGTTGCTGGGTATTGGGAGGACTATGAAGATGACAAGAGAGCCCTGCCACTGAGAAACAGGTGTTTGGAAGAAGGCCGGCACAAGAATAACTATAATGCAAGGGAGACAGGCTAACTTCCACAGGTGGGAATTCCAGGAAGAGTGAGTTCACGTCTGAATGGGGGATGAAACTTCATAAAGGAGGGATATTTGAGACAGTCCCTGAAGGGGACTTCATTCTTTAACTCAAGGGGTTGGTAAGAATTTGTCAGGCAATGATGGCAGGACAGGGTATTCCAAGCATAGAGAACAATAAGGAAGAATTTGTGAAAGCAGGGTGGAATTAACATTTGGAGAATAGCCAGTGGTCCAGTCTGGTGGTAGTGTGAAGTGTGTGGCAAGAAAGAGGTAAGGGTGAGGTTGGAGGGGTAGGTGGGTAGAGCTGTGTAAGGCTAGGATAGCCAGGAGGAGTATGTGCCTGACTTAGCAGATAAGAGAAGGAATAGATGTTGTTGTTGGTTTTAAAAAAGTTTCTTCTGATCACTGAAGTAATATGCATCTAAAGGAAAAGAATTTGGAAAACAAACAAGATGAAGGTTGGTATAGATATAGATACACATTGAACTGTCTATAATCCACACCCAAGATCGCCCGTTAGTGATTTAAAATACATCCTTCTAGCCTTTTACTGTATGGATACAAGGTAGATGGCTAACTAGTTTGATTAATTGATCTTGAGAGTAATGTATAAATGAAATCACATTGCCTTAGATTTTTACAAAAAGAGCCTGTGGACATAATACCTTAGAAACATAAATATAACAGTAGTATGTGGGTAGGTCAGATACAGAGAAATCTATAAATGAGAAAGCCATGGGGCGCCTGGGTGGCTCACGTCAGTTAAGTGTCTGACTCTTGATTTTGACTCTGGTCATGATCTCACAGTTCATGAGAGTAAGCCCTGTGTTGGTCTCTGTGCTGACAGTGCAAAGCCTGCTTGGGATTCTCTCCCTCTCTGTCCGTCCCCCACTTGTGCATGCGGTCTCTCTTTCTCACAATACATAAATAAACATTAAAAAAAGGGGAAGCCATTAAGAATGCTGTTGCAGTGATTAAGAGGAAACAAGTTCTTGAACTTGGGGGCTGCAGGAAAAAGAAAGGGGGAGTGCAGATTAAAAAAATATTTCTAAGGATGGCAGTTCAAGTGGTTTAGAAGAAGGTAGGGAAAACCAGAGATCCCTTCCAGATGACAAGCCTGGATGACTGGGGGATTGCAGAATGATGAACATGATCTGGGCTTTGGGGGAAGGGGAGGATTATGTGTGTATTTTTATACATAGTATGTTGTGGTGGTTAGCAGACAATCAGAGATGTGGGTCGAGAATAAGAATGCAGATTTGAGATTCATTTATATTTTCAAGATTGTTCTAGTTAAGGAAGAAGAGAGATTTCTGAAGGAGGAAATAGATTAGAGAAGAACACAAAGAGCAATGGCGTAATGTCTACATTTAGAAAGACCAGGAACCAGACAAGAAAAAGTCAGAATTGTTGGAGAACTTGGAGTGGGCAGTCCTTGTAGTCAAGGGTGGAAGTAGTTTCAAAAATGGGTTATTCATAGCCTGAAATGTCACAGAGACCACAAGGAAGATGAGATTGAGCACAAAAGATGAAAAGAAGTCAAATATAAGGTTCCTAGCACAGTTCCAAGCACATGGAAAGAGCTCCACTCATAACAAGTATTATTACAAGGAAATGACCATTAAATATGGTAGTTTTTTTACATTGATAAATAATTTTATTTTATTTTTTATTTTTTGTTTTTTGGGTTTCTTTTATATGAAATTTATTGTCAATCTGGTTTCTATACAACACCCAGTGCTCATCCCAACAGGTGCCCCCCTCTTATCACCCTTTCCCTCCTCCCACCTCCACAACCCTCAGGTTATTCTCAGTTTTAAAATTCTTATGGTTTTGCCTCTTCCCTCTCTGCTTTCCCATTCTCCTCTCCCCATGTGATGTCTTCTGTTAAGTTCGTCCATAGGTAACATATGGTATCTGTCTTTCTCATGACTTATTTCACTTATGTAACACTCTCCAGTTCCATCACATTTCTACAAAAAGCAGTATTTCTTTCTCATTGCCAAGTAATTCTTCCATTTGCATATATAAACCACAACTTCTTTATCCTTCTGTCAGTTCTACTAAAAAGCAGACATTTAGGCTCTTTCAATTTGGCTATTGTTGAAAGTGCTGTACATAACCATAAACATTAGGTACAAGTGCCCCTATGCATCTCAACACTCTATCCTGGAGTGCCTAGCAGTGCTATTGGCCAGGTCATAGGGGTTGAATCTATTGTTAATTTTTGAGGGAACCTCCACTGTTTTCCAAGAACAGCCTTTAGTTGCACATTCCCACCAGCAGTGCAAGGAGGCTTCCAATTTCTCCCACATCCTCTCTAACATCTATAGTCTCCTGATTTGTTCATTTTAGCCACTCTGACTGGCGTGAGGTGATATCTCAGTGTGGTTTTGATTGTATTTCCTTAGCCTTGATGAGGGAGTTGATGTTGAGGCAAATATCTTTTCCATGTGCTATTGGCCATCTGGATCTTCTTTAGAAGTAATACTATTCATGTCTTCTGCCCATTTCTTCACTGGATTATTTGTTTTTTGGGTGTGGAGTTTGGTGAGTTCTTTATAGATTTTGGATATTGGCCCTTTGTCTGATATGTCATTTGCAAATATCTTTTCCCATTCCATCGGTTGCCTTTTAGTTTTGTTGATTGTTTCCTTTGCAGTGCAGAAGCTTTTTATCTTCATGAGGTCCCAATAGTTCATTTTAGCTTTTAATCCCCTTGCCTTTGGAGATGTGTCAAGTGAGGAATTGCTGCGGATGAGGTCAGAGAGGTTTTTTTCCTGCTTTCTCCTCCAGGGTTTTGATGGTTTCCTGTCTCACATTCAGGTCTTTCATCCATTTTGAGTTTATTTTTGTGTATGGTGTAAGAAAGTGGTCTAGTTTCATTCTTCTGCATGTTGCTGTTAAATATGGTAGTTAGGGAGTGTTTACAAGACCCACCAAAAGTCTTACACAGAGTTGGAGTTTAACAAATGTGTTGAATGGAATGATGACTGATGGAATACAATAGAGGAAGAGTGTAGGAGTTTGATAACACCTGTCCAACTCCTACTTAATAGAACTTGTTAAGAATACTACTTAATTAGAACTTGTTAGTTCTCACCCTTTGGGAATATATCTTCTGGACTCTGAGATTAACCATGCATGCTGGTTAGTATGCTTGAGGGGCCAGGTCAGCCATCAGGGAGCATAGTCAAGACAGGCATTGATGGCGACTTCCCACTAAGATTTCCTGGCTTCTCATAGGTAGTACAGAGAACTGGCATCAAGTGCGATGAGTAACTTCAGTGTGGTTAGGGGATTTGTACTGCTGGGATTGAAACACCTCCATGAGTTCCAGGTCCTACTGTTTGCATTCATCCTTTTGATATGTGTGCTGACAGTGCTGGAGAACCTGGCCATTATTACCCTCACATGCCTTGACTCCTGCCTCCACTCACCCATGTACTTCTTCCTCTGTAACTTCTCCCTCATGGAGATGCTGGTCACCTCCACTGTGGTTCCTAGGATGCTGGCAGACCTGCTGTCCCTCAGAAGACCATTTCCCTGGCTGAGTGCCTGATCCAGTCTCTCTTTTACTTCTCCTTGGGTTCTACCAACTTTGTGATTCTCACAGTCACGGCCTTTGATCACTATATGGCCATCTGCCGCCCTCCGCACCACCCAACCATCATGAATGGTCCAGTGTGTATGAAGCTGGTGGCAGTCTGCTGGGTGGTTGGCTTTGTCTCTATCATCTCCCTGATCCTGCAGAAAACACGGCTCTGGTTCTGTGGCCCTAATGTCATCGACCACCACTTTTGTGACTCTTCCCCACTTCTCAAGCTTTCCTGCTCTGACGCCTGCCACGTTGAGTGCATGGATTTCTTCCTGTCCTTGCTCTTCATGCTGGCCACCATGCTGCTGATCATAGTGTCCTATATCCTCATTGTGGCTGCAGTGCTGCACATCCCCTCTTTCTCTGGGCACCAGAAAGCCTTCTCCACCTGTGTCTCCCACCTCACTGTGGTGGTTCTGGGCTATGGTAGTGACATCTTCATCTATGTGAGGCCAGGCAAGGGCCACTTCACACACTTCAACAAAGTGGTGGCTCTGATGACTGTAGTGGTGACCCCTTTCCTGAATCCCTTCATCTTCACCTTCCGGAATGAGAAGGTCAAGGAGGTCATTGGAGATATGACCAAAAGTCTCCTCCTCAGAGACCCAGCAGCCCGTGGATGAGAAGGCCAGACAACACCTGTCAAGTCACAGGAGTAAGGACCCTCCACTGCAGGTGGGCACCTGGGCACCCATGCTGGAGCTCCTCAGTCTCCTTCTTAGTCTCTCCTGCTCCCTTTATCCCCTGCTCACTCACTACTGAGAACTAATGAGCTTACATCATCTGAATGATTCCAAGGCAAGTATATGTGAGCCTGAGATAAACAAGGAGGCTGTGGAGTGAAAACAGTATGATAATATCAACTGAAAGAGAGTATCCAAATAAAACCCTCAGTCCTGGGTCTGGTACATAGTAAAAACTCTGTAGACGTGGCTATTATTATAAAAATGTGCTATTAAAATCTCTCCTTCCCAGTCTGGCTGTATGGTTTTGTTTACATTCCTTTACATTTCTTTGTCTGCAAATTCTTTGAGGGTGTATTTCTTTCTCATGAACTGGCTTAAGAGTGTAGGATAGGGTTCTGAAAACAGGAGTTTCTCTGAGAAGAGCAGAGTGGCCTGGCATCCCCCAAAGAGAAGAAACTCCATGCCTCTCGTTAGGACCATTTCTTTGGGGATTATTCCTGAAGCAGAAGCACTACTTATACCCAGGAGGCCCACTTCTGTCCAGCCCCTCAAAATCCCTTGTTTTTAAACAGAAATGACTCTCTAGGGGCCACTTTCTCAGCAACTTCCACAGAGAGGTCCTGAGGGCTCCAGTCTAGACTTTATCCTTTTTATGCACTCAAGAAAGAAAGGGAAGCTGGACCATTGCTCCCACGCTGGCTGCTTTCTCCTTCACATGCATTAGCAACTGTCTTCTCCCACAGAATCTTAGGTCCATGTCCCAGAGCAAGGGCCCTCTGTGTTTGGCTTTCCCGGAAGCAGCCCGGACAGGAGGTCACCAGGGCCCTGGTGGTAAAGCAAAGATAGTGCAAGCCAGTTGAGAGGGAAGAAATGGGGTGGTATTGGGGTTATGAACAACAGGGGGGTAGAGCAAGGGGGGGAAGGCTTTCCCTGGCAGTTTGGGAATGGTTTAGGAAGTCGGGGGAGATGTGGGAGTGGGAGTAGTTCTAGTGTCTGATTTCTTGTACCAGGGTGAATTTGGACTTGGGCTGGGATTTGCAGAACAGGACAAAGAGTAGATGGAAACTTCTTCCTACTTCTGAAGCTAGGTCTGCCCGATGAGGGAGCATAATGCAGGCTGCAGGCAAAGTACAAGCTAGAGTGCGCGTATGCGCACGGGCATGTGCACACGCGCGCGCACACACACACACACACACACACACACACACACACACCAGGTGTAGGTGGGATATGTGTGATATTCCTCAGGCACTCCTGGCTGCCTAAGAGCAAAAGAAAGGAAAGAAAACATATGGTTAACTGGTAGAGATCACAGTCATACAGGACATGGGTCTCCATCTGTTTACAAATATCTTATTAAATGACAAGAAAAAGGCAATCTTATCAATAGCCTAATCTGCAGAAACCTGTGGACTCAGTTTCCTGGAGCCCCAACGTCACCCCTCCATAGTGATATGGGGAACAAAGGCAAGAAGGAAAAAGTAGATTTTCTTATAACCTACAGCCCATTGACAAATACTTGAGGCAGGCAGAGGAAAACATTCTTCCAGGAACTCCCACTGTCTTAATGTTAATGCTTTGCTAGAGGGAAAAACAATTTTAGCTTGACCATAGCTTGGCCTCCAGCATCCTGCATATTCTTTAACATATGCAAATCTCCTTGGAAACTTCCCATTTGCCTTTACCTCCCCAAATCCATAGTATGTAACCAGTCACTCTTCACGACCCCAGTGCAGCTCTTTCTGCCCACGGGTCCTGTCTCCATGCTTTAATAAAATCACCTTTTTGCACCAAAGACATCTCAAGAATTCTTTCTTGGCCATCAACTCCGAACCCCACCACCACCCCAAAACCTCATCATGCCCACAGGATACCTATAGGAGAGGTCATGGTCCTAATGTGTAGCATGGATAGGCCGACAGAGAGGCCATCCTGTAGAGCCACAGCTGTGAAGAAAGGGGTGGCGGAGAGGAACACGTCTGGGGGCCCCACCCAGAGGCATGAGTTTCTGGTTATTACTGGGGAGCTTGACATCCAATTAAGCTCTTTTTTTTAACTACCATAGGACAAACTACTGTTTGTGGGTCTCTCCAAAAGGGGGCAGATACTTTTGATTCTGTGGTAAAGGGCAGCAGGGAAAACAGTTTTTCATCTTTAGAACTTTCTCTCCTCCACCTCTCAAGGGATTAATTGCTTACTCTCCTTGCAAACTTCGTGAAAAAACTTAAGAACTAAATGGGAAGCAATTATCTCCTTCTGATATGCAAATACTTTCCTTCAGCTTTTCCTCCTAAAGTAATCAGCACACAAATCCGCTCAGATTTGCCTCCTGAGAGATTCCTTCCTGCTGCTACTCTCTCATTTCTGCACATTCCCTTAAAAAATTAAAAATAATCAACAGTCTACAGCCATCTATTGCCTCTTTTTCATGGTGTGATCTTAGCAGTGAGATATCAGACTGGTCAGATTGGGAGGGTATATCTTGCCTTGGGGCTCCACAGTAATCACCCCCTCATACAGCATCACACAGTCATGATGATGAGGGAGCTTGGGGCAAGCTGAGGGCAAAATACAGGCTGGCACCCTGCCCTCCACCCCCTCAGGTAGAATATTTGTGATATTCCTCAGACACTCATGGCTACCCAAGAACAAAGGAACAAAGGAAAGGGGTTTAAATGCTTGCTGTGGTAATGTGGGAAACTAAGACAAATGAAAAATTAAATTCCCTTACTGCCTATAGCCCATTGACAAGTCCTTGAAACCGGCAGAGTGACCTCCCTGTAGGAACTCAGCTGCCTCAAGGATGACAGTTTGCTGGGGGGAAAAGGGAACCTTAGCTTAACATTATCCCAACATCGAGGATCCTGTAAGTCAGTTTCCTTTATCTCAACTGTCCCAAGATATATGCTGGCAATCACACTCCAAGCTTATGGCCCCCTGATATATATCTGAAGGGTCTCATGACCGAGGTTGTATTAAATGGTAATAAATGGCATTTCCCTAGCAACAGCTAGCCTCTCAAGGTCCTGGAGACCTTGCTTCCAAAATTCCTTAGAGACATACTCTATCCCTGACCCCCTCCCAACCTGAGGGTATATAATGAGTTACCCATCATGACCCCAGTGCAGTTCTTCCTGCCCATGGGTCCTGTCCCCATGCTTTAATAAAATCACCTTTTTGCACCAAAGACGTCTCCAAGAACTCTTTCTTGGCCTTTGACTCTGGACCCTATGAAACCCCCATCACCCCAAAACTTCATCAATAACATTCCCAACAAAATTACCTGTGTGATGCTTGGAACAGCACTGTCCTCTCCCTTAATACAGAATGCTGAACCTCGGGCCCCACCCTAGACCTGCTGAAACAGAATCTGCATTTTTTAAAAGTTTATTTATTTATTTATTTTGGGGGGGAGGGGTAGAGAGAGGGAGAGAGAATCTCAAGCAGGTTCTGCACTGTCAGCACAGAGCCTGATGTGGAGCTTAAACTCACGAGTTGTGAGATCATGACCTGAGCTGAGAGTCAGACCTGACCAAGAGTCAGATGCTCAACTGACTGAGCCACCCAGGCACCCTGCAGATCTGCATTTTAACAGACCCCCTGGATGATTTATATGCACCCTAATATTTGAGGAGCACTGATCTAGACAATCTGTTGGTGGAAGTTTCAATCAGGAAATTGTGTACGAAAGTCCTTGTCTTGGTGGCAATACTGTGAAAGGCACTGGAAGGGGGCATGTGCTTGCGATTACCGGAGCTACCCTCCCTTCAGGACTTTTATCCCAGGGCCTATTTCTGGAGATGGTAACCAGGATTTAAGCCCTGAGACTTTTATTCTGGTCTGACTTTAAACTACTTCTCCTTTTCTTCTTCCTCTTCATCATCCTCCTCCACTTACTCCTCCTCCTCCTCCTCTTTCTCCTTCTTCTTTGAAAGAGCTTGAGCTCGAACTCATGTGAGTGAGGGAGGGGCAGAAGGAGAGGGAGAGAGAGAATCCCAAGCAGGCCCCGTGCTGTCAGTGCAGAGCCTGAGGCATGGCTCAATGTCATGAACTGAACTGTGTGATCATGACCTGAGCCGAAATCAAGAGAAGGATGCTTAACCAACTGAGCCACCCAAGTGCCCCATGACTTTAAATTTCTTGAGAGACTTAGGTCAATGGTCCAGCCTGTGATTTGCTGTTAGAATTCTGTGTGGCCTTGACCTAGAGATGTTTTGATTCCATACATTTGTCTTAATGTGACAGGGACTCTCAGTGTGCACAATATCAGATAAGACATAAGCCTGGATAGACTTAAGCCAAGAAATACTGATAACAGACTTTTTCCATCTTGCTGGAAGGAATCTAAGGACACCAGTTCTAAGGCAAAGTGGGTGTATGCAAGTCTCCCCAGGTTTAGAGTCACGATGTGACTAAATCATTGCCTCTTGGAATTGCAAGGCAGTGTGTGGGCCGTCCAGGCACACCTCCTCTCACTGCAGGCCTCCCCGCTGTGGGACACTTCTCAGGTCAGCAAGGAGACCTGCTGGAGCCAAGTCTAGGCATGGCGCACTCCCAGCTGCGAGGCAGCCCCTGTATTTGCTATAGCGGTCTCAGTTTTAAGATGAGACCTTATGTCCAGCCATTGAACTATTTCTAGATCTCTCACCCACTGTCCACATTGCTTCCTCTGGTCCCTGTTGTTAAGTGGGTCTTGGAACTGGTTGTGGCACTAGGATAGACAACTAACTGGATAGAGTGCAGTGGGATAAGTTCTTCTTATGCGTTGTTTGCTTTTTTTAAATTATTATACGAAATTTATTGTCAAATTAGTTTCCATACAACACCCAGTGCTCATCCCAAAAGATGCCCTCTTCAATGCCCATCACCTACCTTCCTCTCCCTCCCACCCCCCATCAACCCTCAGTTTGTTCTCAGTTTTTAAGAGTCTCTTATGC